ACATAGAAAGAAAACATGACTGGGACACCCAAATATGTCTTCACATTAGACCCTGGAAGGTTCTTGCATGCGTTATGCACTGTCTCCAAGTCTTACAGTCAGACCTATAGAAACAATCTAGCTTACAGCAGCATCACACACTAACCTCTTCCATTTCAGAAAGACATGTAAATCGCTAACATCTATTTTTTTCAAAGTGCAGAATACAGTGGCAGAGGAAAACACAGCAATATTTATCCCAAAAGTCAGGGAGAACAGGAAGATAAAGTGCTTTTTTCTCTTTAACCAAGCCTTCAGATTTTGATGTATTTTCCATTTAAAGAGTGTTGAGCTTAGCAAAGCTGTAATGTACAATGTCAAAAAGCTCAGCCACAGGTTAGTACTGTTTCTTGGTAGTGATAGTACAAGAGTGATTTCTAAAGTGTACAGCAAGAGCACTGCCATTGTCTTGACCTTTTTTCTGTCTGCTGAACAACTATATCTTATATACAGAATTCTTCCAGCCTCCTGAACTACCTTGTATGTACTGGGAGATGGAGAGGAGATCCCACAATAGGAACACAGACAAAAAAGAAATTTGCATGTATATTACTCTAAAACTGTTTCAGCTTGACCTTTCATGAAGAATGGTTTAAAGGCTGAATTCTGTGACTGGGAATGCAGATTCATTGTCTTTATTGAGTATTGCTGATAGAGCCCTAGTAAACTATGACTGTTTCTTGGAGGTACACAGGTAGCAAAGAGCAGGAGAGAGCAGGTTTTACATTAAAAAGACAAATCCATTAGTATCCACACTAAGATGTCCAGCGTCCCAAGCAGAGACATGAATAAATGAAGCAGACTTTCGTAAGAATATGTTGGGTGTAATAGAGTACTATACTTTTCATTATGGAATGACTAACTTAAAACAGAAATATAACCACCTACTTAGTCTCATCAAAGTCCTCCCACACCACACCAAGCACATGAGTTTCACTGGCTCCTTCTTTTAAAAGGAAAATAAATGAAAATATTGCAGAACTCCTCTGGGCATTAGTTCTCCCATTAACATTTTTAACACCTACAAATTATTAACATTTAAATAGGAAGTGATTTACCTGTTCAGGACCACAAAATTACTGACTCTATCTCTTGTTTAAATTCCTGTGGTTTCCTTGTTTGAATTTATCAAATAATTCATAAACTACATAAATTGCATTGGGAGACTATTATCACAAAACCTCATCTGTGACCAACTTCATGTGGATGTTGAGTAAGTAGATTTGTATCACCAGGAAACATAAAACCATTAACAGACTATAAATATTCTCTCATGAACTGAATAAAGAAATTCAGCTAATGTTTACAAGATTAATCAGAAGTAGTGTACAGTGTTTAACTTTTTTTGTATATTAAAAGTGATAAATTCAAGACACTTAAACACACTATTAAAAATAACATTCTTGGGACTGTTTCTCACTGAACCAGCATCTTAAAGTAATAAGAAATGGTTTCTAGGTTATTTTTTTATTCCACCATGCTAACCATCTAACTGTTATCATATGTTCCATTAAAGATCAACTTTCTTCCAGAAAAGTATGTGTTTTACAGACTACAAGGAGCATATATCTCCCATAATCTAATTCTGTATACAAATTGTGGTTACTAAACAACATAAGAGAAATGGTTTTAATATATGTTAAAGGAATTGTATGCCAAACACCTGGACAGATGTGAAGGTCAAAATCTGTGACAACCTATCCAGTGTCAATGAACATCATAAGTCAACAGTTGTCCAGCAAACACAACTGTCTTTCCACCCTTCTTTGCAAACTAAACTGAGACATTTTAAAGTAATTAAATACAAATGCTTCAAGTTCTGAATGCATTAAATGAAAAGTAATTTATCATATTTTATACACATGTTCAAATTGCAAAGCCCTATAAAATACGTAACACTCTCAAAGCCATAGTTTCATGTATGTCCAAAATGTAGGTATAGACAAAGATATATACTTCAGGTAACAAAGTGCTTCACAGCACTAAACCCAAGAGTACAGTGCAACTAGGACAGTGTTATTAAATCTGTGTTTTCAGTAGTACTCCTTTAAAACAAAAGCCCCACAGGCTTCTGAATTAAAAAGTCAGGGGAAAGTTCTTCTATGCATCTGAGACAGAAGAGACAGATCAAAGGAAAATCAGAACAGCTCAAAATCTCTGGAAGAGTAGTCTGTGTTTTCAGTTCTGATCTGTTTCATCAGGAATTCGTGGATGGACTAGTAAGGGGAAGAACACCTACCTTCATTAGCAGGTGTTGCACGCATGATATGTGTTCGGTTTTTCATAAAATAACCTTTCAAAATGTATACTCATTATATATATTATATACATATTTCAGAATTCCTTACATTCAGTGCGGTAACTATCACAAAGATTTGAAATTTAGATTTAATGCCTGATCTGAGATGTATAAAAGCCTTATATTGCATATTTTCAATATCATTATTACATATTATTATTACAGCTAGCACATTTTTCTAGTAGTATTAGTAAGGAAGTTATCATTATTCATTTCTATTCTTATTAGCATGTATGTGTCATAATGGACAAAACCCCGTATCATGAAATACAGCATCCAACCCATATCCAAAATTCTTGTCAAGTGATTCTATGACAGCCTGCTACCTTAACTGACATTCTCCATACGAGCCTTCTGGGCAGTATAATGTGGAAGAGAGCTCACTCAACACCTCAGGACCTACAGCTGCCTGCTCACTGCACACAACTGGCAAGGGACTGTGTTGGCTATGGGGAAAAGGAGCAAATCACTGAAATTAGTTCCACGCTCTAAGGCTAGGTAGAAATCGACAAAAGCCGTTCACGACTTAAAGCAGTGCTGGAGCTGCTCTTTATTGTACCCAAGTCCAGCAAAGTCACCAGCTGGGAACTGCTTAAATGCCCAAGAGCTTTCCCCGCCTCCCCCCCCCCCCCCCCCCTTGTATTCCTACTGGTGGGGAATTGGCTGGGCTGTTCACACCGGGTGAAAAACCAAAATTGCAGGTGCAAGATGTTGGGCTGTTTTGCATCACTGTTTGGCACAAGGAGTCCGGTTCGGGTGGGGAATCCTGCCGGCTGCCGCGGGCCTGGGCGAGGGTCGCGGGGCTGGGGCAAGCGGCCGCTCTCCCGCGTCCCCTACTCCCTGCCCCCTTTTGAAATCATTCCCCAGCAGCAACGCGTCGAGAAAGCACCTGGGAAAGCCGGGAAAAACATCGTACCAAAGCGGCTCGTCCCAGAAAGCTACCCAGATCCTAATAGCATCTGCAAAAATGCCTCCTTTTGAAGCTCTTGTGAGGGGAAAGCGGTGAGGCGGGAGGGATGAAAGCGCTGGTGCTTAGGAGCAGTGCCACTTCTCAGCTATACCGCGCTGCTCAAGGTCGCTCAGCCTGTACACAACGCAAACATTAGTCTTAATTGCAGCGCAGAAGACTACGAGACGAACGGAAGCTCCTTCCCCTACCCCGCTCGCAGCGGGACGTGTCTCCTGGGTTGTTAGGACAATTCACGCCACGTGCTGCCCCCTTTTAGCACAAGCATGTTTTCTTTAAAGACCTTTAAAAATTATCCGTTAAAATAAAACTTTTCCCCTCCCGCTAATTGGAAGACTCGGCTCCCGTCTTTCCCATACCAACCGTCTCCTGTAAACCCTGGAAAGGCTGGGGAAGGCGGGAGAGGACTCCCCGGCTCAGGCAGGCAGGTTTGCTGCGTGGCCGTGCTTGAAGCGCTGGGAAATCAGCCGTTCTCAGGCAAGAGGTTATTACCTTCTCCGTCCTGCTCTTCCGTCACTCAGGCAGGGCTATACTTCTGGTATGCCTTTCCGTAGGGAATTTACAGCGGTTGCGAGCGAGACTGGGGGGTGAATCTATTCACTGGTGTCTCACATGCAAGTATGCTGAAGTACTTTCAGATCTGGCTCGGCAGAAGAGGAAAGAGGCCCACGGCAGCACTTCAAGGCTCACTGGAATTTGCCTCCCCAGATGAGAGCGCTCCTCAGCCACGAAAAAGCCAGAGCCGCGGCTGGGTGGGTGGCCAGGGGATGGCTGGGCGTGCGGCGGGGGGGGAAGACTACCTTCCCCTTGCTCTCCCATCGCTTCCTCAGCCCGTGACGAGATGCGTGTCCCCCCCCTCCGCCCAACCGGCTCGTGCTCGCTCCCGTCCCTCCCGGCGGCCCCGCTGCTCCCAAGCTCCCTCCCTCTCCCCCGCTTCACCCCGTATAGATGGGTAGATATTTGTAGTTATTAGTTATCAGTAGTATTATTCGAGCCAAATTCCGCTCAGGGCTGGTGGTGGGCAGGCTCTCCATCTCCGCAAAAGAGCATGCTCAGCTCTCTCAGGCATGCTCCTTCAGCGGGGAGGGAGCCAGAGCTGGGCCGGGGGGAGTGAGGGGGGAATCCTCACACTCACACCATCCTAACGCAAAGTTTTATTGTTCAAGCGGCCCCGAGTCCCCCCTTCCAAGAGGAGGGGACCCTGGCGCAGCGCCGAGGGCTAGCGGGGAAGGGTGTTCCCCCTCTCTCCCGGCGGGGAGGGAAGTAGGAGGAGGAAGAAGAGGAGATGCCCAGGCGAGAAAGGCTTCAGAGCCAACTTCTGCCGGGAAACCCGCAGGTCTGCTGCCGTCTCCTCCCGAGGCAAGACCACTGCTGCGCCTGACACTGCTCCCAGCTTTGATGTAACGCTAAGAGCACACGGGCGGCACCATCATCATCATCATCACCACCATCACGACCATTATCATCGTTATTATTAATAATATTATGACAATGCTCGCTGCCGAGGAGTAGGAAGCAGCACTCGGCTCTGGCAGATGCCCTCCGGTGTTCCCTTCCCCCAGCCCTTGCCCGGGTCCGCAGGAACCCCGCGCACCGCTCCGCGCCTACCCGCGCAGCCCTCGCCCAAGCAACGGCGGAGACGACAGGGGGGAGTCCAACCCAAATAGTAACGACGGCACCCGGCGGGTATCCTACCTTGAGCTCCTCCGTGTCCAGGTTTGCTGATCTCTCCATGGAGCGAAACTGAGCAGAGGGGAAACTAGGGAAGTTGTGCCCCCAAAAAATAAATAAATAAAAGTAAAGGAAAAAGGAGGAAAAAAAAAAACACAAACCCAAAACCACAAACCCCACCACACAACACCAGGCGGAGGCGGCAATCTAGTCTCTCAGTTTCCAGCCTAAACTCAGCCTTGTCCTCCAAACCCTGGCAACTGCTCTCAGTCTCATTCTCCGCGATCACGCCTCCACCGGTTTAAATAAATAAATAAATAAATAAATTTCACTTTTTTTCTTTTTTGATTTTTTTTTTTTTTTTAAAAAAGAACTCCCTTAAGGACTCAAGCGCCAGGTGATCTCCGGTGAAAGAGATTCGCGTCCTCAGGCAACGGGAGGAGGAGACAGGAAAAAAAGAATCCGCTCAGTTTAAAGATTATTTTTTCTTCTGCAATAAGCTCAGAAACCGGCGAATCGCTGCATCCCGAGGAAAAATCCTGTTTCTCCGGACAGCATCATGCAGCAGATTTCGAGCAAATGTGTTCAAACTGAAGAGAATAGCCTGTGATAAAAGCCTTTCTCCGTCATGCCTACTCTGGTAGCTAATTTAGCACCCTGTGAGTGCAAGACATTAGCGATGAACAATTTTGCTGGCAAGATAACAAAATCCTCCAACTCCTGCACAGACTCAGAAATTCTCTGTAGCTAAAGGTATTTCCTCAATAATAACACTAGGGGAAAAAAATAGGAAAGTCTGTAAGGGATGCTCTTCTTTGAAGGTTATGCTAAGAGTTGGGAGAAAAACAGTAGGTGGATCTCTTTGCAGAAGAGAGAAGGAAGAGAAGCAGAAATTCCCCCCTTCGCTCCTGTTTTACTGTCCTTCGCCGCCAGGTGACTGACTTCCCTCCTCACGGCCCGCTCGAAGGGAATTTCTCCAGCTCCCCAAAAGCAACGTTTCCCTTTCTGAGCAGCCCAGCCCCTGGAGCTTAATGTCGGCGGCCGGCAGCACCTCCCCGGGGGCGGGCATGGACACGGACCCACCCACGCACTCCCGGCGCTCGCCAAATGGCTCCTCTCGGTAGCCACACGCTCACCGGCGTAAAAACCACCACTGCCTCCCCACCACTCCCTCTAAAACCATATATATATATATGTGTGTGTGTGCAGGTGTGCCTAAATTAACAAGATGATGTGAAACTTCTCCATCTCTGTCTAGAAGTGCACAGCTGTTATGCAGCTGTTGAGCGTATCATTAATGTGCTGCAGCTTTGGCGGAGCAGCATTTCTGATGGCACATGGATTAAGTCTTGAGTCTCTCTCAGGGTGTTACTTTACTAATCTCCTTTTTCGAAGGATTCACTCTCTCGTGGCTCTTGTACCACTCCAGAGAGGATCAAAATTAGATTTAAAAATTCAAATTCCTCCTCACCGAGATCCTGATTTTATCACAGTCCTTTATCATAAATCTGTCAGTTGCAGTTTTGGAGAACAAAGCTGTGATTTTTGTTCCCTTCCTATCGGTCTTTTGGGGGCCTTATTTATTTAACTCCATGAATGACAAATTCAGAACTGTCACTTTCTAATTCTATCACCTCCTTTCTACACTGCTTTAAATAGAATTGGTATTCCTGATAATTTGACATATGTAGACAGATCTAATATCCCAAAGTGGATACTCTCTTTCCAGTTCAATATAGATTTGCTTGCAGCTTCCAAAACTTCAAGGTTAACATAAGCTTGAGGGCTGGGTGATGCCCAGTGATAGCCATTTCTGAGGACCGAATATAGCCCTCATCTAGAAAACTAAAGATGTGGTGCAGGCACAGGCAAAAGACAGTTCTCCTTTTAGCACAAATTGTATATGACTTCCAGGTTCATTGTGAATGTAATATAAGTATCATTATTATCATTAATCTAGAACTGCAATTTATAAAGATTAAAGACTTGGCCTGGTGTTCCCATGTGAGCCAACACACTTGTGTCCAAATAAAAGATTGGCAAAGTGGACACTAAATCTAGTTGCTGTAAGACCTGTAGAAATTTGTGGTTTTTTTTTTTTTTTTCCTGACAAAAAACCCCATTCATCCCCCAAATAAAAAATCTGGAGAGACTTCTAAGAGACCAATCTGAAGGAAAACATCTCAGAATGCACTTCTAGGGTTCCCCAAATGTGCCAATATGCAGTACTAGGAAGAGGAGGGGATTGCCCCAGAATGACACCAACCAGGGGACATAGTCTGGGAGTACCTTGGTGCCATGGCTGGTGCCAATGGATAACCAGAAGGCCCCTGATCTGCTTCATACATCCACACCTGTTTACATGGCGATTAGTAGACCAACAAGTAACTGCACAAAATGCAGCTTTATAAAAACAGAAGGCCTGCAGCACTGTGACTTTGCTGCTGTCTTGTTGCTGCCACACTGCAAGACTTTCTTGGACGGGTTACTCCTTAGTTTGTTTTCATATTGGTACCAAGTGTGCTGGGATGAGATATGTCTGAGAATCCCCTACTGAATTTTGCTGATCGTGGTCAAGAGTTCAGGGAAGAGACAAGGAAAGTTGACAGTACAATCATATAAGCCTAATTTCCTTAGAAAATAATACAAAAAACAAATTGATTTTGTCACTTTAATAACACTTTAAAATCTGTTTCACTTTTCATAGGTAATATAACCTAAGAAGAGGCTTTCTGTTGCTAAGACAGGCACTCCAAAGTTAATTAATACCAGACTTCTAGTTGCTTCAAATATCTAAGTTTTTTGTCTTGTGTATAAACTGTAAGACCTCTCTTTTTCTGTTGCAGGGCCCTAATTCAGAAGACACCCCTGACATTTTCATCCTCATTATTCATATATGGCCCTATGTCTTAGTCATTGCACACAATGTGGAATTATTATTTTCCTTAAAGAGGGCTTTCTGTTTCATTTAGCACAGTTAACAACTGTATTCTGCACAAGTGTCAACACAAAATTTTACTATATGCGCAAATATTATCATTAGCATTAATAGAGGGGAAAACTGAAACCAAGCCAAGAGCCTAGATTCAAAGAGGAACCAGTAAATCTTGAAGCAAATCAGAGCCTGAACTCTGAAAATGAGGCCTGAGCCTGGTGCTTGCATAAATGAGTGGAAATGAAGAACACAAAGCAAGCAGCAGCCTGCAAACTCAACCAAGCGCTGACTTTGACCTTAGGCCTTTTGTGCAGCAGGTCAACAGGTGAAAGACCAGTGAAATTGTGTTATTTTGTATACATCCACCTGCTTTAGCTACTGTATCACTTATATTCATGTATTCATCTTCTTCATTCAACTGCTAAGCCTTCCAGCTTTTCTTTTTCCATTTCAACTAACAAACCACTGTGCAAATGTCATTCACTGCCTAGTCCTACATCTTTCCTGTACCCCAGTCTTCCTATGCCAGGCATTTCTGGTAAGCATAATTGAGGATTATACGTAGGTTATAATTAAAGGTTGTATTGTCAAGATTTAATTAAAGACTCTGTGAGGAGAATCCTGGAAAAATAAGCATCCTTAAAAGCTAAGTGTTTAATTTTGAAGTACTTGACGAGGCTAAAGTCAAGTTTAGGTTATTTTTTTGGTACTTAGTCTTCTGGGTTATTTTTCTGGTTGCTTGCTTGCCTTTCTCCCTCTTCCCCCTTTTATTGAGGCTAAAAAGACTTGCTTTCCACAGATTCTTGCTGTACATTTTTGTAGCAGAGTTGACCCCAAAGTATAATAGCAGGATACAGAGCAGATACTGGACTTTGCTACAGTCACCCAGGTTAGAGCAGGATTTTACCCAATACAGAAAATTTGCCTCCGGGACTTGAAAAAAATTAAAATCTGCAGTCATTTAAGACTGCATGCAGACAACAGGGGAGCGTATTTTTCTAAATAAGGTCTGCAAAAACGTCTTTGTAATCATAAGGTATTAGCAAACTAATGTAGGGACTGCAGCCAACTCCCCCTGTGAAACTTCAAAATGGTGAACAAGCGCAGTTCAAACCTATGCTGGGAGCAGTTAGAGTGTACAACTTTTCGGCAAGAAATCATGCTTTTAAACAGGCACAGTAGTTCCAGTAGATAGCTCTCATGGTTTCTTTATTTTTCCTGAGATGCCAAGATAGGCATATGTCCCATACAATATGGCACAGAGTGCTTTGTCCTCTAGTCTTACCTTTGACAGAGACTTTTTCTCAGATTGAGGGGTTTCCAAGATAGGGTTGCCTAGAAGACCTTCTTGTGTGGGTTTGTATTCTCCAAGTACAGACAATTTACTGGATTCCTTTAAGTTCTTCATATAGCCCATGACGGGAGGTAAACACTTCTGAAGGCTGACTTATTTCATAGAGGTCTGAATCACCTCTGGAAGTAACTGTTTCCTTCTGACTGCACAGGGAGTTCCTGAAGTTCAGTGGCTGAATCTGGGACCACATGTTTAGTAACTTAATACAGATATGATTGAACTTAAGGCAGAGTTACACATATGTGTCTGAAAAAAAGATGTCAGTCATAATGAAAACATGGAAAATGATGGATTCATTCATAGTGAAGCCCCAGGTGTTAGGCTTTGTTATTTCACATCCTTCTAAAATAGAGAGGACAATTTTCCTAACGTATTGTTAGTAAGAATGAAGAATAATTCAAAAGCCAATACAGCACTTTTGATATATTTCATAGATATTTTCCATCCTAAGAAAAACTCCAAACCCACAAATCCAACATTTAAGGCTAAGGATACAGACTTCAGCATCAACTATGGGAACATATGAGTACTACTATAGCTCTTAAGCAGAATTACTATGTTTTCCCAAGTTGCATGGGAAACTTGGATACCTGAAAATGTTTTTATACTGCTCCACAATGTGTAATTTATTTTTTTTTTATTATCGAATGTTAGGCTAACATAGGTATATGTATGTTACATTATAATTATCTCTTGGTAAGAGTAGAGTAACATAAAATTGGAGATTTTGGGGCTGAAGTCAATAAAATACCAAACTGTATAGTAATCCAAATTGTAGCTTACCAGTCTGGATATCCAAAAAAGAAACAGTGTTC